AATGATGCTGAAAATTCAGCTATGTATGATCACAGGAATAAATTACATTTTAAAATCTATTCAAATAGAAAGCAATTTTAAATAGTAAAAATATTTCAACATTTTACTGTTTTTGCTGTACTTTGGATCAAATAAATGCAGCCTTGGTGAGCAGAAGAGAATTCTTAAAAAAATAAAAATTAAAAAACATAATTAAAAATCTTACTGTTCAAAAACTTTTGACTGGTAGTGTAGGCTGTTTTAGTGTAGGCTGATTATTCTTATAGATTGAAACAAATGTGCTTCAGCCAGAAAAAAGGGTATGAAAAGTGCTCCGAGTCACTGCAGAAAACACAAAAATTGAACAACAACAAAAACTGGAAATGTTGCTGGAGACAGGCTTATTGTAAATGCAAACTCATTGTCTGCCAGCAGGAGGCACTTTTAGAGTGATAAAACTAGCAGTTTCCCTGATAATGGCTGTAATCACAGCAGCTCCGCTCATGAACACTACTTTATCAGATCAAATGAAAATGCCATCGAAACTTTTCTGAAGACAGTCGGTTCCCTCAGAGATACATTCATATAAAACACCCGCGCCGTGTTATGATTTTGAAACGTGCAGTGCTCATGTTTATTCAATGAAGTCAAACGGCACAAATAAATCAATGTATGGGAAACTGGTAATGTATATCGGAAATGCGTTTAAAAATCATATCACCGTTATTGAAAAAAATGATATCGCGATACATATTGATATTGAATTATTGTCCAGCCGTACTAACAGCACTGTACTACAGTGAGTGGGAAGAAAACCATAATTGCTAGATTATAAACTAAATATTTTCCAAGTAATAATTTACGCATATTTATAATAATTTTTCACATTGTGAATAAAAACAGAATGCAATGATGTGGAAGTTTCAAATTTCAATATTTTATTCAGAATACAACATAGATGACATATCAAATGTTTAAACTGAGAAAATTTATCATTTTAAGGGAAAAATAAGTTGATTTTAAATTTCATGGCATCAACACATCTCAAAAAAGTTGGGACAAGGCCATGTTTACCACTGTGTGGCATCCCCTCTTCTTTTTATAACAGTCTAAATTCAGTTTACCAGGTTTGGAAAGGTCATGGGATTTTCAATAGTAAATATATATTTCTAGTTGTGTTTGGCTTTAAAAACAGGTGGATATTGATCTTGTGTATAGTTTATGTGGAGTAAAACAAGCTCCTATGCCAGTGAATTGTTCTCATGAGTCAGTTCTTTTCAGTGAATCAGTCAAAATGGTCTGAATGATTCATTGACAAATTCATCTGGATTTTAAGAAATCCTTATTTGATCATTTCATATGCAATGGGAGAAGTAAAAAAAAAAAAAAAAAAAAACCTTACTGACCCAAAACTTTAAATGTTTGTTTTTTATGCTCACCAAGGCTGCATTTATTTGATCCAAAATACAGTAAAAACAGTAATATTGTGAAATATTATTACAATAATATTATTATTTAAAATAACTTTTCTATTTGAATATATTGTAAACTGTAATTTATTCCTGTGATGCAAAGCTGAATTTTCCGCATCATTACGCCAGTCTTCAGTGTCACATGATCCTTCAGAAATCATTCTAATATGCTGATTTGCTGCTCAGGAAACATTTCTGATTATTATCAATGTTGAAAACAGTTGTGCCGCTTCAAGATCGATCACGATAAAAAAAAGGTCTAAAGGCACAGCAGCAAAAAAAATAGACTCTTTGATTCTAAGAGAGGGTGGAATAGGCATGGAATCCAATAATTCAGTCGTCTGGAGTCATTTTTTAATATGTTATGTTAACCAGAAATTAAGGGTCTGCTGGTTGTTTTGCTTCACAGCCACCAACGGTTGTGTGCAGCATCTGTAAGCGAGACGGCCACCTTAAAGACGAGTGCCCTGAAGACTTCAAGAAGGTTGAGCTGAGACCTCTGCCGCCCATGACCGTACTCTTCAGAGAGATCCTGGACGGACTCTGCATGCTGTGTTACCGTGAGTGCTATACCATACTGCACCATCATCCATATTTAAAGGGATAGTTCACTCAAAAATGAACATTTTCTGTAGGGATGCACGATATATCGGCCACCATATCGGTATCGGCCGATAAATGCTAATTTTTTCTGTTATCGGTATCGGCCTGATAAGAAAATTTGGCCGATATCTTAAAGGCGATAAATAATGCATTATTTCCTTCAGAGACACTTCAGATGCGCGCTGTTCGTTTTCAGCCTTTTGTGCAGTTGTACGTTGTAATATTGTGTTTATTTGATGTATATCTGATTTATCTCATATAGAATGTGTTTGGTTAAGTTAAAAGAGCGCTTCAGTTTACCGGTGATCGTCTTTAGCTCAGCCCACGCAGCTCAAACAGCAGTGCACAACATTAATAACTATGATTGGGAATGTGAAATGGAACAGTATTGCACCAGAAGATATACACTATGTCTTTGACAGGATGATCTTCACTGGAGGAAAGGTAATTGCACAGGGTACTGTAATATTTGTGGTGCTTGACTGCGCAAAATGTTTTCTTTTAAATTCAGTTTACCAGGTTTGGAAAGGTCATGGGATTTTCAATAGTAAATATACATTTCTAGTTGTGTTTGGCTTTAAAAACAGGTGGATATTGATCTTGTGTATAGTTTATGTGGAGTAAAACAAGCTCCTATGCCAGTGAATTGTTCTCATGAGTCAGTTCTTTTCAGTGAATCAGTCAAAATGGTCTGAATGATTCATTGGCAAATTCGTCTGGATTTTAAGAAATCCTTATTTGATCATTTCATATGCAATGGGAGAAGTAAAAAAAAAAAACTTTACTGACCCAAAACTTTAAATGTTTGTTTTTTATGCTCACCAAGGCTGCATTTATTTGATCCAAAATACAGTAAAAACAGTAATATTGTGAAATATTATTACAATAATATTATTATTTAAAATAACTTTTCTATTTGAATATATTGTAAACTGTAATTTATTCCTGTGATGCAAAGCTGAATTTTCCGCATCATTACGCCAGTCTTCAGTGTCACATGATCCTTCAGAAATCATTCTAATATGCTGATTTGCTGCTCAGGAAACATTTCTGATTATTATCAGTTGAAAACAGTTGTGCCGCTTCAAGATCGATCACGATAAAAAAAAAGGTCTAAAGGCACAGCAGCAAAAAAAATGGACTCTTTGATTCTAAGAGAGGAATAGGCATGGAATCCAATAATTCAGTCGTCTGGAGTCATTTTTTTATATGTTATGTTAACCAGAAATTAAGGGTCTGCTGGTTGTTTTGCTTCACAGCCACCAACGGTTGTGTGCAGCATCTGTAAGCGAGACGGCCACCTTAAAGACGAGTGCCCTGAAGACTTCAAGAAGGTTGAGCTGAGACCTCTGCCGCCCATGACCGCACTCTTCAGAGAGATCCTGGACGGACTCTGCATGCTGTGTTACCGTGAGTGCTATACCATACTGCACCATCATCCATATTTAAAGGGATAGTTCACTCAAAAATGAACATTTTCTGTTAGTTTACTCACCCTCAGGCCATCCAAGATGTTGCTGACTTTTTTATTCAGTAGAACAGTAAAGAAGAGTTTTATCTGAAACAATGGATCTTGGTGATTCATAAAATGTATGTCATCACTGAGTCCAAAAAAGCACATCAGGCTTAACCTTTTTTTTTTTTTTTAAATCAGTGATTTTTGGGTGAAATTTTCCTTTAATACGCCAGCACACCCGAATCATCCCAATCAGAGAAAATGTCCTTGCCACTTAGCAGCTTGAGTGCATTTATTTGGATTTCCCGTTAGTTTACTCACCCTCAGGCCATCCAAGATGTTGCTGACTTTTTTATTCAGTAGAACAGTAAAGAAGAGTTTTATCTGAAACAATGGATCTTGGTGATTCATAAAATGTATGTCAATGGCTGTCATCACTGAGTTCAAAAAAGCATATCAGGCAACACAAAATTACAGCCAACAGCCAAGGGGATTCATTTTTACTTTTTACTTTTTTTTTTAAATCAGTGATTTTTGGGTGAACTGTTCCTTTAATACTCCAGATAGGGATGCACCGATATGAAAATTTTGGCCGATAACCGATTATTCTTTATTTTTGAAAGCCGATAACCGATATGTTGGCCGATAAATCTATATCCAAATTGTTATATACTTTTTGAGAGCCTGATTACAAAAAAGGTCTCATCATTAAAAACCACATCCCGAACACTTCAACATAAGCAGCCTAGTTTGAACGGTGTACGTTTTAAAAATATTTTTACTCTCCCATTACCAAATTTAGTCATAAAAAAGTCTTACAAATAAATTTGGCACTGAACAACTAAAAGCCCCAGCACCCATAATACTTAATTTACGTTTATCGCATGCGATTTATCGTGCAGCCCTAATATAAAATCCTAACATAAAAGCATATATGTAATGGAAATGAATTCCAAGGTTTTGGCACTGAACAACTAAAAGCCCCAGCACCCATAATACTTAATTTACGTTTATCGCATGCGATTTATCGTGCAGCCCTAATATAAAATCCTAACATAAAAGCATATATGTAATGGAAATGAATTCCAAGGTTTTGGCACTGAACAACTAAAAGCCCCAGCACCCATAATACTTAATTTACGTTTATCGCATGCGATTTATCGTGCAGCCCTAATATAAAATCCTAACATAAAAGCATATATGTAATGGAAATGAATTCCAAGGTTTTGGCACTGAACAACTAAAAGCCCCAGCACCCATAATACTTAATTTACGTTTATCGCATGCGATTTATCGTGCAGCCCTAATATAAAATCCTAACATAAAAGCATATATGTAATGGAAATGAATTCCAAGGTTTTGGCACTGAACAACTAAAAGCCCCAGCACCCATAATACTTAATTTACGTTTATCGCATGCGATTTATCGTGCAGCCCTAATATAAAATCCTAACATAAAAGCATATATGTAATGGAAATGAATTCCAAGGTTTTGGCACTGAACAACTAAAAGCCCCAGCACCCATAATACTTAATTTACGTTTATCGCATGCGATTTATCGTGCAGCCCTAATATAAAATCCTAACATAAAAGCATATATGTAATGGAAATGAATTCCAAGGTTTTGGCACTGAACAACTAAAAGCCCCAGCACCCATAATACTTAATTTACGTTTATCGCATGCGATTTATCGTGCAGCCCTAATATAAAATCCTAACATAAAAGCATATATGTAATGGAAATGAATTCCAAGGTTTTGGCACTGAACAACTAAAAGCCCCAGCACCCATAATACTTAATTTACGTTTATCGCATGCGATTTATCGTGCAGCCCTAATATAAAATCCTAACATAAAAGCATATATGTAATGGAAATGAATTCCAAGGTTTTGGCACTGAACAACTAAAAGCCCCAGCACCCATAATACTTAATTTACGTTTATCGCATGCGATTTATCGTGCAGCCCTAATATAAAATCCTAACATAAAAGCATATATGTAATGGAAATGAATTCCAAGGTTTTGGCACTGAACAACTAAAAGCCCCAGCACCCATAATACTTAATTTACGTTTATCGCATGCGATTTATCGTGCAGCCCTAATATAAAATCCTAACATAAAAGCATATATGTAATGGAAATGAATTCCAAGGTTTTGGCACTGAACAACTAAAAGCCCCAGCACCCATAATACTTAATTTACGTTTATCGCATGCGATTTATCGTGCAGCCCTAATATAAAATCCTAACATAAAAGCATATATGTAATGGAAATGAATTCCAAGGTTTTGGCACTGAACAACTAAAAGCCCCAGCACCCATAATACTTAATTTACGTTTATCGCATGCGATTTATCGTGCAGCCCTAATATAAAATCCTAACATAAAAGCATATATGTAATGGAAATGAATTCCAAGGTTTTGGCACTGAACAACTAAAAGCCCCAGCACCCATAATACTTAATTTACGTTTATCGCATGCGATTTATCGTGCAGCCCTAATATAAAATCCTAACATAAAAGCATATATGTAATGGAAATGAATTCCAAGGTTTTGGCACTGAACAACTAAAAGCCCCAGCACCCATAATACTTAATTTACGTTTATCGCATGCGATTTATCGTGCAGCCCTAATATAAAATCCTAACATAAAAGCATATATGTAATGGAAATGAATTCCAAGGTTTTGGCACTGAACAACTAAAAGCCCCAGCACCCATAATACTTAATTTACGTTTATCGCATGCGATTTATCGTGCAGCCCTAATATAAAATCCTAACATAAAAGCATATATGTAATGGAAATGAATTCCAAGGTTTTGGCACTGAACAACTAAAAGCCCCAGCACCCATAATACTTAATTTACGTTTATCGCATGCGATTTATCGTGCAGCCCTAATATAAAATCCTAACATAAAAGCATATATGTAATGGAAATGAATTCCAAGGTTTTGGCACTGAACAACTAAAAGCCCCAGCACCCATAATACTTAATTTACGTTTATCGCATGCGATTTATCGTGCAGCCCTAATATAAAATCCTAACATAAAAGCATATATGTAATGGAAATGAATTCCAAGGTTTTGGCACTGAACAACTAAAAGCCCCAGCACCCATAATACTTAATTTACGTTTATCGCATGCGATTTATCGTGCAGCCCTAATATAAAATCCTAACATAAAAGCATATATGTAATGGAAATGAATTCCAAGGTTTTGGCACTGAACAACTAAAAGCCCCAGCACCCATAATACTTAATTTACGTTTATCGCATGCGATTTATCGTGCAGCCCTAATATAAAATCCTAACATAAAAGCATATATGTAATGGAAATGAATTCCAAGGTTTTGGCACTGAACAACTAAAAGCCCCAGCACCCATAATACTTAATTTACGTTTATCGCATGCGATTTATCGTGCAGCCCTAATATAAAATCCTAACATAAAAGCATATATGTAATGGAAATGAATTCCAAGGTTTTGGCACTGAACAACTAAAAGCCCCAGCACCCATAATACTTAATTTACGTTTATCGCATGCGATTTATCGTGCAGCCCTAATATAAAATCCTAACATAAAAGCATATATGTAATGGAAATGAATTCCAAGGTTTTGGCACTGAACAACTAAAAGCCCCAGCACCCATAATACTTAATTTACGTTTATCGCATGCGATTTATCGTGCAGCCCTAATATAAAATCCTAACATAAAAGCATATATGTAATGGAAATGAATTCCAAGGTTTTGGCACTGAACAACTAAAAGCCCCAGCACCCATAATACTTAATTTACGTTTATCGCATGCGATTTATCGTGCAGCCCTAATATAAAATCCTAACATAAAAGCATATATGTAATGGAAATGAATTCCAAGGTTTTGGCACTGAACAACTAAAAGCCCCAGCACCCATAATACTTAATTTACGTTTATCGCATGCGATTTATCGTGCAGCCCTAATATAAAATCCTAACATAAAAGCATATATGTAATGGAAATGAATTCCAAGGTTTTGGCACTGAACAACTAAAAGCCCCAGCACCCATAATACTTAATTTACGTTTATCGCATGCGATTTATCGTGCAGCCCTAATATAAAATCCTAACATAAAAGCATATATGTAATGGAAATGAATTCCAAGGTTTTGGCACTGAACAACTAAAAGCCCCAGCACCCATAATACTTAATTTACGTTTATCGCATGCGATTTATCGTGCAGCCCTAATATAAAATCCTAACATAAAAGCATATATGTAATGGAAATGAATTCCAAGGTTTTGGCACTGAACAACTAAAAGCCCCAGCACCCATAATACTTAATTTACGTTTTGGAAAAGTCAGTAAATCTACTAAGGATGACCTTAAAAAGTGCAATGGAATGTATGTTTGAAGAAGGTCTGAAAGAGAAAGAGGAACTAAAATATGAAGAGCTTTAAAAGTGACTCATTCTAGATCACTCTGAACTACCCGCTGAATGGCCAAGACACCACACACCTTATATACTAGGGCTGGGTTTTGACACAAATTTCACGATTTGATTCGATTCACATTCACAAGCTTGCAATTCGATTCAATATCGATTATTTTGGGTATATATATATTACTATAGTATTGAAGGTTAAAATTAACTGATGTTAAAATTTCACTTAATGAAGTTTTTAAAATAATAAGTTACAATTACATCATATTTCTACTTAAATTTGTTGTTGTTTTTAAAATATAAACATAATGGTGGCTGTCATAAAATGATGGATTTATTGAAGAACAATACAATTTATAATGAATATGTTATATGGTGCATATATTTAGCAAAATGCCCCTCTCTACAGTTTATTTTTCTAGCTGACTAATGAGCTTATAATCACCAAATATGTTTTTCTGAGGTAAATGTGACATTACGTGACATTGTTTACAAGCCATTATATTGACATCTTTGCACGGCTGAAACACTGATTGAGGGAATACGTGAGACAGGATATGGATTGTAAAGTTGCACTCTTTCTTTTAACTTATCTTTGGATGTGTAGTCATGTTTATTTTGTACTGAAACTGGTCTTAATGTGGAGAAGATGATTAGTTCATGTGTGCCTCGCGCTGCCGCGTCTGTTGATCGAGGCGCTACAGCGATCTGTCACTCCACATTAAACAGCGGCAAAACGGCATTTATTGTAATACTGCAATACATTGGACAGCATTTGAAATCGGATACTTTGTTTCATATTAAAAGTACCAAAGCACAATGCTTATTGCGATATATTGGATGGGAAGTGCCCTTCAATGTTCTGTCCATTAACTGAAAACATGCTAGACTAATCGATTCTTGGGATTTAAGAATCGATATCGTTCCGTAAAAATGAGAAACGATTATTATCGAGATATCTATATTTTTTTACCCAGCCCTGTTATATACCCATAGTAGGCAAACCTCACTCCCCCGGACATCCTGGGACAAACCATTTATTTTTATTAAAACTTTATTAAACTTTATTTGTTAAAACTTTATTCAAACTAAAACGACTAAAACCAAAATAAAAATGCTATCTAAATAGTAGCCTATTGTTTTTTTTATAAAAATGCTAAAAGTTTTGGAAGAATGCTTAGACTAACGCTGTTAGTTGAACATCGAAAAATTCATATTGCCGAAAGAATTGCAGTGTTAACACACACAATTAAAACAGCGCAAAATGAAAATAGCATAACCAGCAGTAACAAATTATTTAGCTTTTGTTCCCTAAAAGGAACCGACTGCCTTTCACTTTACAGAAAAAAAACAGAGATTGACTGCAAATAAAACAGCTATGTAAATCTTGCTCCACTCATATATGTTTCTGTAGAGTTGGCAGGGAGTCTTCCTGTAGAGTATTTACCTCAATAGTTCCAATAGTTCATGATTAGACAATACAAGATTGTTGACAATCATAACACACAGCTCAAACATTCTAAAACCCTATAAAACAAACTGAACACTTTAATCGATTAAACCTTTTAAATAGATTACAATATTTAGAACCTAATAAAAATACATTTGGACACATCATGACATTTGAACGGTGATTCAAATCTTTGTATTTTCACCCCCCACAATGAAGCTTACTGAACTGTCCCAATCCCCAATAATTGTTGCATTTTCAGTGAATTATTCAGTCCAGTGTATGTTTTCGCTTTAAACACAAGCTCTGTCATATTCTGGGATTGTTTTTGAAGAGCGCAAGTCCTCATGCTTTGCTGTGACTTTGTTTTGGAACTTTAGATGACGAATAAAAACGCACCAAATAAGTCAGAAACCAAAATTAACCAATTTATACATTTTACATTTAATAAAATAAAAAATGTTTTTCTTTTGCTTCACTACAATGTCCAGTGCATTGCACAGCTTTGCCACGCAGATTTTGATAGTTGGACTGCTAAAGTTTTTTTTACTTCTGTTTTACAATAAAAATCTTTTAGTGATATTTAAGTCAAAGAATTGCAAAATCAAAAAGTCCATATTATGGAATGAGCCTGCACCCATCGAGGAAAAAAACAAACAAGTGTTTTACTTACCATCGTCCCTTAGGGCTTTTAGTCTAAAAGTTTGCTCCAAAACCTTGAAATTGCACCTTGAAAATGGTTGAAAGTGCTTGAAATTGACTTGTGCAAATTGTGGAAAAACCCTTTGTAAAATAAGGTGGATATTATTGTTTTATCATTTCATTCAAGACTTGGCCTACTCAGCCATCCTTTAAAATGCCCACTTCCATTTTTTAAATTGATTATATGGCATAATGTCTATATAATATCTGTTTTTATATGCACAGCGACCCCTGATCCCGGAGAAGACCCAAAAGTGTCCAGGGCAAAGTTTTTTATCCGAGATGAATTCTTGGTATAAATACTTTTTTTAATACTCTCTTTATTTTCTTTATTTCTTCTATAATATTAAAGGTATAGTTCATCCAAAAATAAATTTTCTGTTAGTTTACTCACCCTCAGGCCATCCAAGATGTTGCTGACTTTTTTATTCAGTAGAACAGTAAAGAAGAGTTTTATCTGAAACAATGGATCTTGGTGATTCATAAAATGTATGTCATCACTGAGTCCAAAAAAGCACATCAGGCTTAACCTTTTTTTTTTTTTTTAAATCAGTGATTTTTGGGTGAACTGTTCCTTTAATACGCCAGCACACCCGAATCATCCCAATCAGAGAAAATGTCCTTGCCACTTAGCAGCTTGAGTGCATTTATTTGGATTTCCCCTTACATTTACTTCAGGTTGAGTTGCGATGTGTTTGTGTTTGTAGGTGAGTTATCGCCGTCTCTCATCGAGCAGCAGAAGAGGGAGCAGATTCTGGGCAGTCTGGAGCGCTTCATTAGAAAAGAGTACAACGGTGTGGATTACGTTCATACGTGTGCGCAACAGCGTTAACCAAAAAAACATGCAGGAGCTAAATAGCTTTAGCAGAAATGGTCATAGTCTAGAAATTGTCTACAGTGGTCCTCATTTTGTTCTAATAGAAAAATAAAAAATTCATGATAGCATTTCCACAACTTTCCAAAAGAAGAACAAATGTGACCCTGGACCACAAAACCAGTCATAAGGAGTCAAATTAAATCACTTTCTAAGCCATTGTATTCGAAACACTCTGAGCATATATATATATATATATATACAGTGGGTACGGAAAGTATTCAGACCCCCTTAAATTTTTCACTTTTTGTTATATTGCAGCCATTTGCTAAAATCATTTAAGTTAATTTTTTTTCCTCATTAATGTACACACAGCACCCCATATTGACAGAAAAACACAGAATTGTTGACATTTTTGCAGATTTATTAAAAAAGAAACACTGAAATATCACATGGTCCTAAGTATTCAGACCTCTCAGTATTTAGTAGCTGCAAAAAATCTAAATATTGAGAAAATCGCCTTTAAAGATGTCCAAATGAAGTTCTTAGCAATGCATATTACTAATCAAAAACTAAGTTTTGATATATTTACGGTAGGGAATTTACAAAATATCTTCATGGAACATGATCTTTACTTAATATCCTAATGATTTTTGGCATAAAAGAAAAATCTATAATTTTGACCCATACAATTTATTTTTGGCTATTGCTACAAATATACTCCAGCGACTTAAGTGCTCCAGGGTCACAAATTTTAGAGAGATTGATTACAGCAGTAAGATAAGCGAAAGGAGTCAAATTAAATCACTTTCTAAGCCATTGTATTCGAAACCCTCTGAGCATATATATATATATATACGCAAGCTCAGAGGGGTTTGGATATTATTTTATAGTAAACTTAAAAATAAAATGTTAACATTTACTCTGAATGTTGTTTTTGTGTGTCAGGCCCAACACAACACCCGGATGCTGGCCACATATGCTGCTATAGACCCTCGTGTGCAGTATCTGGGCTACACTATGAAAGTATTTGCCAAGGTAAGACCAGATATCTTTGCTGTTGTTGTCATAAATGATTTTAACTTGCAGAATGCACATAGTTGCATAAAATATTCCCTACAATATTCAAACATGCACATTCAGACGGCTAGTGCTAAAGGAACATGTGCATGAGTAGCTCATCTACAGTAGTAAAGTTACATGCACGTTATTTTTGATTATTGCATACTCTTAAAGAAGCTCAACCTTTTGTGGACAAATGTAAATTGTACTTGAATGAATTTGTTTACAAAACCTCAACTTAAATTTTAATTAATGACTTTTTCTGATGTTTTGAAAGAAAATAATGCTTTGATTCAGCAAGGATGCATTAAGTTGATCAAAAGTGACAGTAAAGACATTTATAATGTTGCAAAAGATTTATATTTCAAATAAATACTGTTCTTTTGAACGTTCTATTAATCAAAGAATCTAGAAACTAAATGTATCGCAAAAATATTAAAGGTATAGTTAACCCGAAAATGAAAATTCTGTCATTAATTACTCACCCTCATGTCGTTTCATTTTTGGGTGAACTAACCCTTTAATCAGCACAACTGTTTGCAATATTGATAATAATCAGAAATGTTTCTTGAGCAGCAAATCAGCATATGAAAATGATTTCTGAAGATCAGGTGACACTGAAGACTGGAGTAATGATGCTGAAAATTCAGCTTTGATCAACGGAATAAATTATATTTAAAAGTTTATTCAAATAGAAAAGTTATTTTAAATTGTACAAATATTTAAAAATATTACTGTAATTACTGTATTTTTGATCAAATAAAAACAGCCTTGGTGAGCAGAAGAGACTTTTTTTCTCAAAATCATTAAAAAATCTTTCTGACCCCAAACTTTTGAACAATTGTGTATACTTTGAAGAAAATAGTGAAGGAATTTTTTTTATTATTAATTAAACAAATTGTTTTTTATCTCAATTAACAAGAGCTCATAAAACGGTTTATTTAATAATAAAGAATTAGAAAATGTTTACAATATTTTAAATTATTTGCCATGTTCACCAGGAAAATTTTAGCTACATTGGGTGGTCCTAACACAAGTGTTAGGACCACCCAAGGTAGCTTAAATGATCCTGGCGGTGACAAGAGTCGACAAATCTTTTCTCCTGCAGAGGAAACCTGTGGCTGCATATGACTGAAATGCAGAAATCAAAAACCCATTTTGAGGTAGTTACCAGTGATAAGCCAGAGTAATGGTGATGATGCTCAGGCGCTAGGGACCTCATTCTAGAGTGGGAGGGGCCAATTCAATGGTAAGCTACCGCCCGCTTCAAGTCAGCCTCTGACCAATAAGGTGCTGCCATTCACCACAACACTACCAGAATGGGTGTTCTGGTTTGTGTTTTACCTCACCCAAAAAGACACAAATTCATTTTTTCAACTTGGAATGTAAGGACAATGACCGTTGGGATGACGATGTACCAAGATGCAGTTTGCAAAAATATAAATGCTAGAAAGACAGCTGTCATTGATACTGAACTGGCCAAATGAAATGCACATGTCTCTGCTCTTCAAGAGACAAGATTAGTAGGGGCAGGTACTATTAGAGAAACCAATTTTACATTCTACTGGTTTGGCAGGCCAGTTGATGAACCAAGGCTGTACGGGACTTTATTTGCCATGCGTAACAACCTTATCAGCAATATACAAACACCTACTGCAATTAGTGACAGGATATCTTTCTTTAGACTTTACACCAGACAAGGTTGTATTTTAGTAATATCTGCCTACGCACCAACACTTAAATCAGAACCAGCAGACAAAGGTCAGTTCTATGGACGGCTAGAAATGCTTCGCAGGTCATCTCCTGAAGCTGAATGGACAGTCTTGTTTGGTGATATGAATGCCAGAGTAGGGGAGGACCATAATATTTGGCCTGACAGCATTGGAAAGTTTGGGGTGGGGTGAATGAATGAGAATGGTTAACGGTAGGGATGCCCTGTATCCTGGTCTCCTGTACTGGTACTCGTTAAAATGCCCCGATACCAAATGCCGATACCACACAGCATGTGATGAGCGCCATATTCAAACAAAGAAACACCAACAACAGACAGCAGAAAGGAGTTAAGGATGTCTACTACGAAGTATATGTATGCAATGAATATAATGTTAAACATTCAGTATTAACGCCTGTATAGCTGATGTGTGCGATCTGATAAACAAAGCGTGCTGAGTGGATTGAGCGCGCGGCGGCGCAGATGCGCAAGCTTGTCGAGTGAATATCCCTTTCTCACAGACATCACTGGAAAGTTTGTAGTTCGGTCGGATACGTCAAAAACAAGTAAGTAAAACAATGCACAAGTTACTTAACAGTAGGGAGAGAGAGAGAGTGCACGCACTTCTGTTGTGTGATCTTTGATGTTCACTCACTTCTGCACACGCATCATTTGTATTAAAACGAAATCGTAAAAATAAAACCATTTATAGGGGCATTCACTATAAACATCATTTATTTTCAACCTTAATTATCTAACATTATCAAGATGATTTGTTCTGACACAGTTTAACTCTGAGTTCTTGTTATATTTTATTACCATTTTCTAAACTAAATCGAATAAACTGTGATAATGGGAGAAATGTTGAAGGTGTCTGAATAAATTTTGGTTTGACTGTATCTATTTGATAAATGAAGTTAACCAACTAACATTATACATACCCTTTTGGTTTCTGTACCCAATATTGAAAAAATTTACAAATGCAATAAAAATATCGGTATCGGCAAGTACCAAAAATAAAAGTATCGGTATCGGGCGAGTACTAGAAAAAGTGGTATCGGTGCATCCCTAGTTAACGGCTACTGGAGCTCTGCTGCAGAAACAATCTCTGTATTACTAATACTATCTTTTCGGTAGTGGTAGTGGTAATCTTTGGGTGATTACATAGAAAGATGACTTGGTGCCACCCAAGATCTAAAGCATGGCACCAGCTTGATTTTGTTATTGTCAAGCAGAAGTACAGAAAGGAAGTCAAGAATACACGTACATATCACAGTGCCGACTGTGACACTGATCACAGTCTAGGTGTGTCATACATAAACATTGAACCAAATCCTTTCCGTCGTCAAGTGAAACAGTCCCAAAAGATTGACATTCACAAAACAAAGCTCCCAAATCTTAGAGAATAATACTGTAACAGGTTTGAAGAAAAGCATCAGAACATTCCTGATACCCCAGACCCTGGGAAGCCATGAGAAATGTGATCTATGACACTGCTTTACAAACTTTTGGAAAGAAAAGGAGACAAAATCCTGACTGGTATAATGCCTCCTTGCAAATGATCCAACCAGTTCTTGAGGAAAAGCATCAAGCTCTAGTCCGCCTCAAATCAAGCCCCACAAGACAAGCAACAGTCGCATATCGTGCTGCAAAATCTGCTGCACAAGCAACAGTTCAGAAATGTGCCCAAGACTACTGGGACATGATATGCTCCAATATTGAATCTGCAAGAGATTCTGGAAATATCAAAGCTATGTATAAAGCTATCAAAACTGTAATAGGACCTAGTACCCAGACTTGTGGTGTGTTCAAGAGGAAAGATGGTTCCATCATTTAAGATAAACCAGAAAAGCTTGAGTGTTAAAATAGTGCTGTCTGTTATGTAAGGCGTGTCGGGGGGCCTGATCACCCTGTCGGGGGTTATTCTGCGATAACAACCGGCTGGATGTACATTATCCCTCATATTCCACAACTACTTGCCACATAAGTAAATAATTAGACGCAAAATATTGATTTGAGTTGAAATATTTGAACGCAAAGCTTCCGTGAAGACAGCAGTTGCAAGCAGCGGCAAGTTCAAACTAGACCGATATTTAAGGGATACGGTGCAGTCATACCACTTATTACACAACATTTGACCACATAAGGCGATACAAAATATTGATTTAAGAAGAAAATGTTTTAAATTCTTACCAGTATGTTATAATCCATTGCAGTGTACAAAACAATCATTGCAGCAGCTGTGTTTATATGAAACGAGAGAGCGAGTCTGCGATACCAGGATGACATAATTAAATAATTGTACACATAATAATGAATTGAGTTTTAATATTTTATTAGCCAAACCAAACGCAAAGCTTCCACGAAGAAAAATAGTTCCTAGCAAGAGTATAGCGCCCACTTCAGTTTCCCAGATGAGCCTGTGTTATCAGCTTTTAACGGTTGTTATTGAGGGATAACAGACCTCGGAATGTCGCGACTGACCAATCAGAATCAAGTATTCAGCAGAAGTATTCCACATCAGAATTGCTGCAATGCAGAACCAGAGCTAGACAAGGTGATAATCATAGTTCAAGGACTGAGCAGAGGGAAGCCACTGGCACCCCAAGTATGTTCCGCAAGTTTTCAAAGATGCACAGATCACCATCTTCTACAAGAAAAAAGGGGATCGTGGAGACTGTGACAGTTACCGAGGAATATCACTGCTGTGTGTTACAGGGAAAGTCCTGGTCCGCTCATATTGACTCGCCTTCATCAGTTAGCTGAGGTCATATATCCTGAGTCTCAATGTGGCTTCCGACCCATCCACTCTACAACAGACATGATTTTTGCTGAGACAGTTACAAGAAAAATCAAGAGAACAGAATCAGCCACTCAACCTTGCTTTTGTTGATCTGACTAAAGCTTTTGATTCAGTCGACAGAAAAGCTCTCTTTTTTATAGTCCTGCAAAAGGCCGGCTGCCCTCGCACCCTTCTATCACTTATTAAATCCCTTCAAAATTGAATGCAAGGCCGTGTACAATTTGAAGGTGATCTATCTGATGAATTCCCTTTAAATCTAGGTGTGAAACAAGGCTGTGTCCTTGCTCCAACACACTTTGATTTATTTTACCTTTGTATTCAGGACTACCTTTGAAAAATTGGATAATCACACTGGAATCACTCTTTTGATTTGGGATTATGGAAACTTCGTCAGTCTATTCCGTTTGAGAGCAAGAACAAAAACACAAGAGTTTGTCGTCAGAGAACTGCTATATGCAGATGAGGCTGCATTATGCGCATCTTTACCAGAGCAGCTGCAGATTCTGCTCAACTGTTTCTCATGCTCGTGTGATGTTTTTGGGCTCACAATCAGCTTAAAAAAATGGTGACTCTGGGCCTGTTTACACCTGGTCATTTCATGCGTTTTCTCTGATTGGTGTAAATGTCCTCTGAAAGGCTTTCGAGACCGATTTAAAGCCGAGGTGGCACTTCAGGAGGTGGTCTGGGCCGCATTCCACACGAAACTGGACAAGTGTAAATGCATCTGGTTGTTGAAACCACATATGTAAATTTTACTCCTCCCAAAATGTTAAAGGGGTCATATGATGCGATTTCAATTTTTCCTTTCTCCTTGAAGTGTTACAAGCTCTTGGTGCATAAAGAAGATCTGTAAAGTTGCAAAGACTAAAGTCTCAAATCCAAAGAGATATTCTTTATAAAAGTTAAGAGTCAACCATACCTACCTAAAACGGCTCGTTCTAACACGTCCCCACATGTCTACGTCACGATGTGGAAAGATTTGCATAACTCCGCCCAAATGTTCACGCAAAGAAAGAAGGCTGAACTTTTATTCTCGCTATAGTATTGTTGCTGCCGCCATGTCGTGAAGATGCTGTGTATTTCGTTGTGAAAGCGAAACTACTTTGTTTGGTCTTCCAAAAGAGGACGATATCCGCTTCGTCATGCCTGGAGCTGATCCGTGCTGGTTGCTGAGGAAATACATCAACTTCATTCTATGGATCGCCAGATCAGCTTTCACCGTGGACAAAGCGGAGTCCAGCCCGTGGTCGTCACATGTGGTTGCCGTAAGCCCACCGGACGCTCCTTCGTCGAATCCGCCGGCCGCGCCATTCTCAAACCCGCCATGTGTGACGCTGTGTGTTTCGTTGTGAAAGCAAAACTACTTTGTTTGGCCTTCCGAAAGAGGACACGACTAGAAATCAGTGGTTAAGTTGTATTTACAACACTGTTCCAGAACACTTCAATCCAAATATTCAGATGTGTGCAGCGCATTTTATGGAGGACTGTTTCCTGATCCTGGTAGAGTAGACTACAATGCCGGCTGTTCTGACTCACAGACTGTAAGTACGTTTTCATATTTAAAGAAAGTGCGACAACTGCAGACATGGTTTTATGTTTACGCGGCGCGATGCAACGCGTAAAAAGACAGTACAAGTCATTATAATCCGTAATTATGTCTCCACTGGATGCAACAAATGCCTCATTTATAATGGGTTTTAATGTTTTTGTCTCGTCGCTCCAGTAGCCCCTCACTGCAGAACAAAAGGTCCAGGGGGCATCACAGTATGCTAGGGGCGTAACATTTCCGTCACACGCTTGAGGTATTCGGCCAATCACAACGCACTGGATAGCTGGCCAATCAGAGCACACCTCGCTTTTCAGACCGATGAGCTTTGTAAAAATCGACGCGTTTCAGAAAGGCGGGGCATAGAGGAGAAACAATAATGTACAGTATGTGGAAAATAATGTTTTTTTGAACCTTAAACCGCATAAACACATTTCCTTACACCAAATACACCAAATAATGTTCTTTTTAGCAACATCATATGACCCCTTTAAAATAATAAACGTGAGAGAGCGTGTTATAGCCTACATGACGTCATAGTCAGATATGACCGCGCTAATGCAACACGCATCGCTGCAGATGAGTAGCTGAGTATTTCTTCAGCGAGCCGATGCACAAACTGCCACAAATGAAACAAGTCGCGGACTCTTAACACACAATCATCTTCATTAAAAGTAACTTACAAGTAACTTACCTTTCCAGTACTGATGCCGCTCTCTCTCCTGTTGCGGTCTTTGATCTTGAAATTAGCTGATGATGAATAAAATGCAGTGCCAATCTGGTGCATTCTTTGATGTGACCTCCATTAAATTTGCATATAGCGTTGGAATTGAAGATCGGATATATATCTGTTTTGCGGAGATACGTTTATGTAGCCAAGTGTAAATGATAGAGTTGTAAAAAATCAGATTGATATCTGATCAGAGAAAACGCATGAAGTGACCAGGTGTAAACAGGCCTTATGTCACTTGCTGCCAACACACATAGTTTTCAGTAAAAAAAAATGTAGTTCTCGATGATGTGGGAAAGTTCACATATCTTGGATCTACCGTGACCCGCAATACTACCCCAGACGATGAGATTTCAGTCAGGTTGGGGAAAGCGGCCTTTACTTTTGGGCGTTTGACAAATCGTGTATGGTGGAATAAGCATCTGTCTGCATCAAAGTAAGAGTATATGAAGCATGAGTTCTGAGCATCCTGCTGTGTGTCGCTGAATGCAGGTATCGAGAGAGTCTGCTAAGTGCCTTCCACACTAGATGCCTCAGGTTTATACTTGGTAAGACCTGGAGGGATAAAATGTCAATCTGTTTAAAGTGACAAAAAGTGAAACACTTTCCTCCCGCCTAAAAAGTTTTCGTCTCAGACATTCAGGTCATGTGACCAGAATGTCCCCTTCCCCTATTCCCCACACAATTCTGCACAGTGTCCTCAAGAAGGGTACCCATATTGTTGGACGGCCTAAACTGAGGTATAAAGATGTACTGAAAAGAGATCTGATAGATTTTTGAGTCTATCATCCCAACCAACTCCTGGACCCAGGCAGCGAAAAACCGTGTTGAATGGAGGGCTGATCTATTCAGAGGAAAGGCTCAAGACCATTCTAACTACCTCCAGCGGCTAAAAGAACGTCGCAGACATGATCTATGTTGTCCAAAAATGCCTGTGGCTTATTGTCACCCACATTATCGCTCGCGACAGATGCATACCATTGTTGTACCCTGTCACTGCCCTCTTCATTACATTTTAATTTTTTTGTCAGTGTATTGGAAAGTCATAGTATTGACTACATACATGCACACTAGGGGAAAATGTAAATGTGTGTTTTGCAGCGCTGTGATATTGGCGACGCCTCCAGAGGAAGTCTGTCCTCCTATGCTTACATCCTCATGGTGCTGTATTTCTTACAACAGAAACAACCACCAGTCATCCCTGTGTTACAAGAGGTACAAAGCACTTACACAGAAGTACTGTGGCAGTACCATGGTGCACTGATAGTATCACATATCTGCACCATGGATCTGAATGATTGTGCTCTTCTGCAGATATTCGATGGGAGCACTGTTCCTCAGAGGATGGTGGACGGCTGGAACGCTTTCTTCTTCGATGACCTTGATGAGCTAGTGAGTGGGATTGATTTGAGATTGTTTCTGAGCAAGACATTTTTGTTTGAGTCAGAACGTTGAAGAGGTTTCATTCTACTAAAATTGTACCATTTTTATTAATTTAATTATTTATTAGATATTAACCTTTTAATATTTACGTTTCACTAAATACACAAATAAAACTGCTAAAATTAATGTTTATATTATTTACATTTTATAATAAATCATCTGTTATTTAGAGACAAGTAATTACAAAAATAATTAAGATTACTTAATATTATAATTATAAATAATATAAACAAATACGTACAATCAGTTATGGATCTTCTTTATTTAGTGACAAGTAATTACAAAAATTTTTTAAGAAAATCCATAAATGATAGTATGTATTTGTTTATTTTATTTATAATTATAATATTAAGTAATTTAATTATTTTTATAATTGCTTGTCACTGAGTACACAAAGAAAAACAATAACTGATAATTATATTAAGTAATTTAATTATTTTTAGTAATTACTTGCCACTAAATGCACACAAAAATGATTACTGATAGTATATACATGTTTGTTAGTTATAATTATAATACTAAGTAATCTAATATTTTTTAAATGACTTTTCACTAAATATGCAAAGAAAAATAAGTGATATTATATATTTGTTTGTATTATTTATTATAATATTAATAATCACAATTTTTTTGTAATTGTCACTAAATACATAAAGAAAATCAGTAACTGATAGTATTTGTTATCAACAATTTGTTTATTAACAACAACAACTGGTGAAAAATAGCCTTCTGGCTAATTCTGGCATATTGACAGAAATGTTTATTAATATGCATTGTCCCTGTAATAAAAAACAACAACAAGTAATTTCTATGTATTTTTTATATATTATATTTAGTCAACCTCACTGAACGTGATACACGTTTAGTTTCTAATATTGATCATTTATACACTTGGAGACTGTAAAGCCCGATGCATTCTGAAGTGCACTCAGCATGCATCAGTTAAGGTGTGTGTTTCTGGTGTCCAGCGGCGGTGTCTGCCGGAGCTCCATCACAATAAGGAGACAGTCGGGGAGCTATGGCTCGGCCTGCTGCGCTTCTACACAGAAGAGTTTGATTTTAAAGAGTACGTCATCTCCATCCGCCAGCGCAAACGCCTCACCACCTTTGAGAAACAGTGGACGTCCAAATGCATCGCAATCGAAGGTTTGAAACGCTCATTATGACTCGCAACTTTTTTCTCTTAATTTGTTCTGAAATGCACAGAAATCAGAGATCAGTTATTTTATTCAGGTTATTCATTCTTTTATTTGTTTTTTTATTATTAATTCAGCCTCTTTAGATCTGTCTTGCTTCATAAAAACAGATTATAAAATAATTGTATTAATATATTTAATTAATTTTGTATTTTATTGTTATTCCGTCCATTGTTTCCAAGTAGGCTTAAAATGTTTAATGCTCTAAAATACAGTAAAAAAAAGTATTTACATTTTTTTTATATTATTAATCATTAATTAATTTATAACTAATTGGATATTAATTAGTATGAAATTTATTTTTATAGTATTATTTATAATAAGAAAATAATTATTTTTAGAAATTGTTTCACAAAATACACAAAGAAAGATGATAATTAACAGTATGTATTTGTTGATATTATTTACAATTAGTATATTTTATTAATATATTGTATTAATATATTAATATAACATGTCATTTTTATAATTGTATTTTATAGTTATTCCATTGTTTCCCAGTAGAATTACAATATTTATTGCACTACAGTAAACAAATGTTTTATTTTATAATATTTATAATAAATGTATGAATGTGTGTGTATATATATGTGTTTATTATATATATATATATATATATATATATTATAGACATTTTTATTAATATTATAAATCTATGTATTTTTTTATATTATATATTTAGAAGTTGAGGTGACTTCACTAAATGTGATGCTTTTAGTTTGAATTCTGATATTTTGCAATATTTTATTTCAACCAAACAAACATGTTGCATGACCCTTGAATATGTTATTTTTGCATTTTTTTTAACAGATCCCTTTGACTTGAATCACAATCTTGGGGCTGGTGTTTCTCGCAAAAGTAAGCAAATCTATCCTGTTCCACACCTTTCAGTAAATATACGGTTGATTATGTCTCACTCTTTATGTTCTTTCTGTCCTCTCTGTACACAGTGACTAACTTCATCATGAAGGCCTTCATCAACGGCAGGAAACTGTTCGGCACCCCATTTTACCCTCAGCTGGGAACAGAGGCCGTGAGTCACGCTACAACTGCTCCGGAGCGCCATTTTAACCTTCATTTCAGGTCTCATTTCATCTTCGTGTCTCTGTCTCTCTGTCAGGATTACTTCTTTGACTCAAAGGTGCTGACGGACGGTGAACTGGCTCCTAATGACCGCTGCTGTCGGATCTGCGGGAAGATCGGTCACTATATGAAGGACTGCCCAAAGAGGCGCAGGTGCCCTGTTTACACATGCAGAAACTATTACTTTTTACAGCAATAATACATGGGTGGCAAAGTGCTTAGCTGATCTTGTTTGTTTTCAGAATGAAGAAAAAGGAGAACGAGCGCGAGGAGGAGGTCAGGGAGGAGGACAGGGAGCCCAGAGAGAGACGCTGCTTTCAGTGTGGTGATATGGGTCATGTGAGGAGAGACTGTCCCGATTACAAACACCTCCGTCAGAGAGCAGTGTCCGGACCAGGTACAGCTCAGCTTAATTCAGTGCTTTATTTTTTTAGTTCATGAAGCCTCTAGAGCTGAACTTCTCAGACCATTTTCATAAGCCCAAACAGTTTTGTAACACATTTTGTGTGTATGTGTGTATATATATATATATATATATATATATATATATATATATATATATATATATTAGTAGATAGATATATTTTTCTAGTTAAGACTCGTCCACGCCCTCCTAAAACGCCTCGTTTAAACACGCCCCCACATGTCTACGTCACTGTGGGGGAAGATTTGCATAATGCCGCCCAAATGTTCACACAAAGAAAGGCGGCGTTTGTACCACTTTGTGGTATTTGTTATCCTATTATTTTGGTTCATAATCATACACACACTGGTTTGTAGCGTAAATAGCTTTACTGTTTACTGTACTTTCATGTACTGTATTCTATACTTTCTTTATTGTTGTAGTTATTAACCTATAATGGCTATTGAGTTGAAAGGAAGTGTTGCAAAACAAAGTAGACAGTTATTTGGTGGATAGGTATAGACTTTGATAGTCATTTTATATTGTATTGTCATCGCTGATTTTATTATGCAATTATTTTTTCTTTATAATTAATATTCTTGACCTGTCTGTGTCCTGTGGGGGGCAGTATATAAGAGCGTTTGACTGTGATTACTCTGTTTTTTTCCCAGTACCTCACATGGTCCGGGCCATGGCGAGCTCTCAGTCCATCCCCATTCCTCAAGGTGCTTCAGTCCAGGATCGGGACGGACGGCACAGGCAGCCCTCTGAATGTGTGAGGACCTAAACCCTCTGCTCTCAGCTGCGGCTGGATGATAGACGTCCGTTGCCTTTTAGTTGTTGATGTTTCTCAGTATTTTATTATGTGCTTTGAAATTAATTTATTTTGCCAGTCAAATGAAACTTCGACCAAATAATTTGAACCAAATTATTTATTGTTGCCAAGTATATTTAAAATACTGGTCACTAAATATAGTAAAAATCTGGTTTATTTTTATTTTTTAAATTTATCTATGTATTATTTATTTATAGTTATAATTAATCTAATTATGTATTTTTGTCATTTTTAATAAATAAAAAAGTTTTATTATTTAATTCATATGATATTTATTTAGATTTATAGTACATTATATTTATTTTTAATTATAATAATACATTATCTAATTAATTTTAGTAATTACTTTTCAGTATATATATATATATATATATATATAGTATATAGCTGATAGTATGTATTTATAATGTTGTATAATGCACAAATAATAGTGTATATATAAAGTATATATGTATTACTATTCTAATATTTATAATACATTTTTTTTATTATTAATTTTCATTAAATAAACCAATTATTTAGTCATTATATTGATTGTATATGTGAGTTATATTTATATTTGCCTTTATATATTTTTTTTTATAATTTAATGAAGTATTTATTTTTAGAAAGTAGAAATTAATTTTCACAAAATAATCTAAGAAAAACTAACTTTATAAAGATAAAGATATAATTATGTATAATTCTTATATAATTAATAAATCATTCAAAGGGGTCCTTGATTATTTTACTTTTTTAACTTCAGTTAGTGTGTAATGTTGCTGTAAAGCCGTATATCAAAAGCTAACATAGCATTTACAAATAACAGCATATCTACAAAGCGTTCTGAAACGTCCTGTAAGAGCTGTGCTTGCACAGGTTCTGCTCGAGCCTCTTCACTGATATTCTCTGGGTCTGATTCGGCCTCAAATTGATAAAGCAATATTGACGCCATTGTTTACCATACACCGGAGCACATACAACAACCGGTGATGTTAAGGGGCGTGACGTTTCCGGACAACATGCACTAGATGGTTAACGAATCACAACACACTGGAACAGCTAACCAATCTGAGCCCATTGTGTATTTCTGAGGGAGCAACCAGGAAGTCAAGACCGTTTTTAGGAGAACGGACCCCATAAACACAATCAAGCCTTCGAAAATAGCTGATTTACCACCCTTTTCATTATTTTTTAGTAATTACGTTTTTTTACTAAAGAAACTAAGTGTTTAGAAACTTTTACACTGCTTATGCACGATGACTTGAGAAACCTTACAAAAACTACTGTGATGGTACCACGGTACACTGATATTTTCAGATATTGGCATGGTAGTGGTATGAAAAGCGTATTGAGATTGTGATATCCAAGGTTTTGTTTGCCAAAAAAGTCATTGTAAATATTCAATATCACTCAGCAACAGAATTTATTTTCATACATTCGTTTTTGGATGAACTGACACTATTTCTGTCTGTTTCCATCCAGTCTGATACGCGTCAGACTCCTCCGTACTCCCCTCAGCCGTCTCCCTACAGCCAGGCGTCCGTCTCTCCGCAGAACAGCAAGCCTTCCTCTGCATCCTCTACCTCCAAACCCTCCCAACTGCAGCAGGTTCCACAGGTCCAACTTCCCATCTTCAGCTTCCCCCATTCGCACCCGGGGCCGTACCACGCCGGGCTCTCTGCGCTGGGCCTCCTGCCTGCCCACCCCCAGCAGCCGCCCCTCACCTCTGCCTCCTGGCCCATCCACGGCCCTCTCATCCAGGGCTCTGGGGCCTCCACCGCCTCCGGCCACCCGTCCTCTCCTGGCCTGAAGTTTGCCATCCGGGGTGGTGGAGGCGGGACTGGAGGCGGGCCAGCTTTGAGCCCCGCCCCCATGAACCTGAATGACCCCAGCATCATATTTGCTCAGCCGTCGACGGGGCGGGTGGCTGGTGGAGTGGGCGGCGGCCCGGCCCGAGAAAGGGTGCACCCCTGGCACAATCACCATCTCAATCCGGGGCCACTTGTGGGGAACGGCACAGTAAACAAGACAGGTACACACACGTGGTGCTCACACTTTCACGTGGTGCTTTCTAAGGCAACATCCTTATGGAAATTTAAGCTTTATGAAAATGTTTTCAGAGATGAGTGAAATCAGTGCAGTGTCTCTTTGTGAGCTCAGGTAAGTCTCACAGGTGTTTTGGGTTCACTGGGTGACTCCACAGCTGTTAGACTAAACACTGGGAACTGGATTTATTGGATTGCTTGTCCTCTTTTAGAGCCGCTTCACCTGCAACCCCTTGAAATCACAGTCTAATGAATACCTTGTTTTTTTAAATCTAGTATAAATAAGGAAGGTGACATGGTTTCATAATGGTTGAGTGACATTTGAATGGTTCTGAGTTCTTGTGTTAGTTGTTTTACTCTCTGTTAGTACAGAGCCGTGTGTTCACTGTTCTCTCTCTACATCTCAGATCCTAATTTCCCGTCTCAGTTTGGCGGTGTGACTCAGGGCTCTCGGCCCTGGGAGCACAGCAGTGCTGCTCCGTATTCGCTGTCTCCATCCTTCATGCCCTACCGTCTGCCACCCTACCTGCAGCAGCCCAACAAACCCTTCATCTCACAAGGTACCAGTGCTGTCCTATCTGTCTGACATGTTGAAAATAAAACATTCAAACCTTGTGTATATGGAATTTTCCATTGTCAACAAAAAATTGTTTTTTTATTTTATTTTCATTCATGCTATTTTTGCTGTATTACTTGGTTAAGGACAAAAGCTTTAAGATCCAACAAGTCAGTTACAGTGGGGAAAAAAAGTATTTAGTCAGCCACCAATTGTGCAAGTTCTCCCACTTAAAAAGATGAGAGAGGCCTGTAATTTTCATCATAGGTATACCTCAACTATGAGAGATAAAATGAGAAAAAAAATCCAGAAAATCACATTGTAGGATTTTTAAAGAATTTATTTGCAAATTATGGTGGAAAATAAGTATTTGGTCAACCAAAAACCTTTCCTATAGCAAATTAAAAAACAGATGGGAAAAGAGCAGATAAGAAATAAAAAGCAAACCAACATTGTATATATATATATAAAATGTTGGTAAATTTAAGTCAGTTAGGAAGTGGCCAAAATAAAATAAAAATCAGTGGAAGAAAAAAGCATTTGTCATTTTTTTTAAATTATATTATATTAATATTATATATTTTTTGGTAGGTGAATCATGCTTAATTATCTTTGTCACAATGCAAAATAATTTAATGGTGCTAAAAGTTGGCTTCATTCTCTTTATGTAGAATAGTGTTTATTTTACTTTCTTTTGACTTTGGGATGAAATATGACATTTTAATTAATTTTTTTATGACATTCCCTCAAGCATATTTGCTGTTCCTGTGTATTGAAAGGAATCATTTGATTCATTCAACATGTTATTAATGGTCTTTTAAGTTAACTGAATATTCCTCTCTCTGATTTTTATATTCCACAGATGCACACTAATAAATAAAAAGTTTCCACTCATAACAGTTTTTTTCCTGCATTTCTTGCAGGTTCTCTAGTGGCAAATCAACATTACCCGCTTATTCAACATGGCCGGCATGGCAATCTCAACTACATTCAGCAGAAGAAATGACACTTTACTTTGTAAACCAATGCCCAAGGTCCTTATAGAAAAAAAGAGACTAACTTGGCATGATTTGGTGATTTGGAAACTTTTTAAAATGAATTTTATCTTTTTTTGTACAGTTTTTATGTCTTATTTTCCTTTTATTTCTGTGTGTATCATCACATTGATTTGTGATACAAAATGTCAAATATTTTAATACCCCTATTTTTGGAGGGGTCCAAAAAAAAAGTGTTTTTATTTTTTGTGTAAAATAAGGATTTAAAATTGATTCACTTTATTTTTATTAGCAGTATTCCTATTTTGCTTGCATAAGGACAAAAGGCTTTAGATAGGAAAATCAAACATAACATAACCCAATAAGAAAATGATGTAGTGCCAAAAACTTCCCTATAGCAAACCAAGAAAACAGACAAAAAAGACCAGAAAAAAAAATCAAGAAAAGACCAAAAAAAATAAAGAAAGAAAAAGCAAACCAACATGCTGATGTGTTGCTTTTATGTATTTTTATACATAAAAATATGTATAACACATATTCCTGTCTTGGAATTAATCTGACCTCTGCCTTTTGTGGGAACCATACCATATTTTTTGAAGAACCCAATGGAGTTCATAAGATCGGTGAGTGTTTGCTTTGAGTATAAAGGCTTTGTTTTTGCGGAAAGGTTTACTCTGTAAAATGTAAACGCTACGTTGATTTCATTCACAGGTGAGACAATGTCTAAGCCACTATAGTTGTGTTGAAGTGCTGTGATATCTTCTCTGAGCAGTTGTCTCAGTATGGAGAGATGACCACTGTGTATCTCGGGAGAAAGCCAGCGATATTCCTCAATACAATCCAGCTCGTGAAGGAAGCCCTGGTCCAAAATGCTTAATTTTTTTTCAGGAAGGCCACATATACCACTTCTTATCTGGACCACTGAAGGATACGGTCAGTAATACATTGTGGAGTACTGACAGTGAATTTGAAAATGTACATACAAATTTTAAAGGTGCTGTATGTATTTAAGCATATACTACTATAATATGTTTGCAGATATTTCGGAAACATGCCAAGTTCACATACTTGTCTCTGAAAATCAACGCTACAGCCAGTTATTCTTTGAAGCGTTTATTCTGGCGGAAGGTCTGGTTTTGTTTTGGTCTGCCAATTTACCCAGTAGTATCTCCACACCCCGGGTTGCCAGTTGATGGAGAACACAGCATATTGCAGCTGTAGAAGCTAGCAAATGATTCTACCTGACCTAAAAATCCTCTGCATCCATCTAAAACGTCATATGAACAGAGGCATATTAGAATGAGGATAAAACAACTCATTAATTTACAGTGTAAGGCTCATTGACTTCCATTGTCAATTGCGCTCATTCCTGTTGCGTTCGTGTCCTAAATCTGGCAACCCGCTTGAGCATAGAGTCTGAGGGGGGAGGGGGGACAATATTTTGAATTTGGTACAAATTTCAACTGCTAGCTGTCAAACGCTTTGCATACCTTCTGGAAATCCTGAAGGAGAAAATCACTCAGTCAGGGTCACTTGTTGGACAGGTATGAACAAGCACTAAATGTTCTTAGCTATTATCCAGTTGGATCAGAAGGTGGATCTCTCTTAATTGTGTACATTCCCATAGGTTGTCGACACTTTGCATTATTACTCTTGATAAAAGTTAAACCCTACTAAACTTTACCAGCGGTCACCCATGCTGCATCAAAACCTCAACTTCTTGAAAGTTGGCATTCCTGTTGCTTTGTCACTATAAATTGCTGTAATTTTGACATCAGTGTTGTTGGATCATCAACACTGCCTGCATCAAGGCTGTCTCCAATTTTATGATGCATTTGCTTGTTTAAACCATCAAGGATAATATGATGGTCCAGTAAGGCTGTGAGTAACAATGGGGACTACTTAACCGGGGATGTCCAGTCCTGCTTCTGGAGGTCCAACTTCCTTGCAGAGTTTAGCTCAAACTCTTCTTTACCTCACTTGGAAAAAACTAAGCAAGGTCTTCAGGATTATTAAAAACTAGCAGGTGTTTTGGAACAGGTTGGAATGTAAAACTGCAGGAAGTTGGTACTTTCTGTTTTCCTAGCAGCAGAAGGCCAATAAGGACTCGACGTTTGATGAAGATAACATGGTAATTGCTCCTGTCTGGAACCGACACCACAGCAACCAGCATCAGATGGGGCCTCATCTTCTTGACTCAAAACCCAGATGTACAAGGTACTTAAGCTTGTCAGCATTCTGTTGCTCAAACAGTAGAGCTTGGTGCCAGCAATGCCGAAATCGATTCCTCTGGAATCTGTGAACTGATACGTGTATATCTTGCATGCTATGTAAGTCACTTTATTTCCAGTAACTATATTTTCTAGTGGCCAAATGTAATTGATTAATTGCAATAAATCTCAAAATCTGTAAACACGACTAGGTCGATATAGATTGCCATTGAACCTAACAGATAGTCCTATCCCAAATTGACTATTGGTTGAGCTTGAAGAATAAGGTTTTGTAAACATCACAGTGTCAACTTTTCAGGAAGTCAGCCTTCCAGTAGTCTCAGCCTCAGACGTACCACATACCGTTGGCTAAACGTCTGATGCATATGACACACAAAAGTGGAAACACTTCAGGAGTTTCGAAGTCGTCATCGGATTGGTTGAATTATACAGGATTTCCGGGAGACGTGGGTGTCGCGTTCTTTAACGTTCCACCTGGAATCAAAGATGCTGTGCCGCCAAACCCCCTCACGAAAGAAGAAAGCCATCGGGTTTACAACTGTGACAATGAGCGCTTATCAGGATCAACTAAACGCTGGATTTTCAAAAGTATGTGACAATTTTAAAGTTTGCTGCATAGAATCTTTAAAATACGTCCAAGAGTTTTACACACCGGTCTGTTATTGTGGTGACATTTCCAGGCCCCGACATGTGACGATGAATTGAACAAACTGTGATTGGTTGTTTGACGGCCTCATGGGCGGGTCTTGGCCAATGAAAGCTGCCATGGATTCCAGACCTTCAGCAGTCAGTCTGAAGGTCTGGCTACGCGAGACTAGCCTTCCAGTAACTTTCTTGTACTAGCATTTGAACATTGAAAAACCTTCACACTGCAGCTTTCATTTCATTACAGAGCGATGTCATGAGGAGATTCTTCAGGTTCTGGGTTACGACCGCTTACCCAGCATGATTGACCGAGACAAACTACCGTACACATACGCCACTGTTGACCAGATTCAGCGCTGTGCCAGCATTGTACCCTCTGGCGTGATTCATGAAACAACTCTTTGCTGCAATGTGTTTCAGCATTGATGCGTTGTGTTTCTTGATTGTTCCACTAACAAACATTGTCTTTTTAGGGCACCGAGATATTTACTAACTTATGTTTTATATAGTTACTAACTATTGTTTCTAACGAGATAATTGCTAACAGCAATTTTAACTGATAAGGAGCACTGGAAGTACCCAGACACTTTTAACCCAGATAATTTCTTAGATGACAGTGGAGTTTCCAAAGTTCACATCTGTGTTTTTAGACATAGCTCTGTAACTTGATATTAATAGTTTTAACCCTGAAATAATTATATTCTAATTTAATAGTTATGGTTTAGAAAAAGCATGTCGTGTATATATTTGTTGTAAAGTGTAGAATCTGCTGTCACAATAAATGACTGAAGTGCTGTAATACCACTGTAGTACTGTAAAGCTTTTCTCTCATGATCTAATCTCTCATGTGACTGCTAATAATACAACAGTCAGGCAGGCCTGTACAGGTGTAAACCGGATTTATATCTTGCAGGCATGGCTTGAATTCAAGTGGAGCCGCAGCAAACCCTCCCGTAACCTCCATATCCCGTGAGCGCTCCGGCAGACTCATGGGAAGACACAGAAGCCAACAACAAGCAACTGTTCCCACAACTATTGCTCTACAAATCCCTTTTAAAGCATGTTGATTTAGTCCAGGTGCAAAACCACGTCAGCCAATCACCTGCAGTCTAACCACTCACTGAGATGTCACAGCATGTTTGAAATTGTTGAACTGGTTGAGTTAATGTATTATTGTGCTATATTAAAAGTTTTCATTTGAATTTTGACTATCAAACCTTCAGTATATTTTATACATGCATTTGATATTTTATCAAATTATATTTGTAAAAAAGGTAAAGGTTACAAATGTTTGTGAACATTTCTTCTGAAACATTTGACGTACAATGGAGTTCAAATGTGTAAATATTAGTATATAAAATTACAATGATATAAATATTCTCACAAGACTAAGCAAATAGCATAAGGAATGTTGGGAGGGGAATCGCCAGTGGCCTTTGCTATCATTTCACAGTCATCTTTACACACCTTTCCAGGGCTCTTGCATAATCCCATTAATAAAGACAAGATTAGGCTGTAGAATACCCATTGGCTGTGCTGAGATTTAGTGTACACAATCAACCTCATGGTAGTGGATGACATGAACTATCGCCTCAAACTCCTACTCCCACTGTCTTCTCCCATGTTCGCTCTGTCTTTATAAAGCTCACAGTCGTTTGCTGCTCATGTCATTCTTGGAATGAATCTGTCACCATGTGGACGACTCTTATGAAGTTAGACCTGGCCTCTGTTGGCATTGCTCTGTCTCTGGGCTTTATTTTTGTAGTTCTGTTTGAGATCTTCAGGATTAATTCCTACAGAGCTCAAACTCCACCTGGTCCCAGACCTCTGCCTTTTGTGGGAACCATACCATATTTTTTGAAGAACCCAATGGAGTTCATAAGATCGGTGAGTGTTTGCTTTGAGTATAAAGGGTTTGTTTTTGTGGAAAGGTTTACTCTGTAAAATGTAAACGCTACGTTGACTTCATTCACAGGTGAGACTATGTCTAAGCCACTGTAGTTGTGTTGAAGTGCTGTGATATCTTCTCTGAGCAGTTATCTCAGTATGGAGAGATGACCACTGTGTATCTCGGGAGAAAGCCAGCGATATTCCTCAATACAATCCAGCTCGTGAAGGAAGCCCTGGTCCAAAATGCTTCATCTTTTTCAGGAAGGCCACATATACCACTTCTTATCTGGATCACTGATGGATTAGGTCAGTAATACACTATACCAAAAATGAATTGGTGTTGTAGAATATTGGTGCTGTACATCCACATTTTGATCAAATAGAAAAAGCGTTTTTGTATCTGGTTGAAGCTGGTCTTGATCAGTTGAGCAACCAGCCAGTGAAGTTAGAGTCTTGAGCTTGAGGTCTTAGTCTTGAAACTTCTTCGAGACCATGTAAATGTGGTTGCGGTCTGGATTCGGACCTCAAGCAGTCTGCTGCATCCAGTTATGTTGTCTGTCTTTAATCAACTTGTCTATTTCCTCATAACTCTGTTCTCTCTCTCAGGTATCTTAATGGCCACATTTGGTCACTCCTGGAGGCAGCAAAGACGGTTTGCTCTGCAAATGCTCAGAAACTTTGGTCTGGGGAAGAAGTCTGTAGAGGACCGTGTGACAGAGGAAGGCAGTTACCTGGTTCTTGAAATGCTCAAATCGGAAGGTTATTGATGATTTTAGTTTCTGTTTGAATGTGTTTTTCAATATTTAGGCTTATTGTAGTGAAAGTGAAGTGACGGGTGTGCCCAAGTACGGTGACTCATACTCGGAATTTGTGCTCTGCATTTAACCCATCCAAGTGCGCACACACACGCACACACAATTCCTGCCGGACCTGAGACTCGAACCCGCAACCTTCGGGTTACAAGTCCGACTCTAACCATCAATCATGTTCCATCTGATTTCTGTTGAGTCTAAACATAAGGTGCTTTCACACCTGGCCTGTAGTTTCAGAACCTGGCACGTTTCCCCCCCTTTGCTCGGTTCGTTTGGGTATATGTGAACACGGCAATTGCGCTCGGATCCGCGCCAAAACAATCGGTCCGAGATCGCCTGAATGAGGTGGTCTCGGCTCGATTGAAAACAAACTCTGGAGCGGTTCGGTTGTAGTGAGAAAGCAATCCGATCCAACGGACCAACGAACCAGGCTATATCACAATGTATCATGGGTAATTACGTAAGTTCCCTGAAAAGTATCAGCTTTGTTGTTTTGCTAATACCTCAAAATGAACCTGTGAATGTCTGTGGGTGAGCACGTCTTTGCCATTCAAAAATCAAAGCACACTTTATTTTATAATGCCGTCTTACTGCTCTTCTTTGTACATGCATTTTAAAAATGTTTTCCCGATCAATCCTGGACTCCTGCTCAAAATGATAAATTATTATAACGACAGCTACAAAAAAAAACAACAATAAGCCCGCAAAGCTGTTATCGTTCCATCCTGACGGATGACATGCGTGACAGCTCAGTGGAATCCCGGAAAATAAACCGTGGAACTTTGACCAATGAGAGAACAGTTTACTCGCGCGTGACTTGTATTAACAAATTTGGTTCGTTTAGAAACTTTGCCATGCGAAAGCGAACCGCTCCAAGAATAAAAAGCAACATTGTAATAATTTGAATCCCTGTTTCGGAACAAAGCAATCGATCTACAGGTGTGAAAGCACCCTAAAAAATTTACATTATGGAAGTATGCAGACATGAATTTCAAGTTCATGGTCCCATTGTAGATATTTGTATGTGTTCTTGAGTTGCTGTGGTGGTAACAAGCCTTAGTATTCAGGCTAGCTTCAAATGCCATTAAACCAGATGTATTATTCTGAAAGCTAGCTGTAATGTCAACTTGAATTCATTTGCTTGGCAAGATTCTATTTAAATGATTAAAACATTCAAAGACTAACACATGGTTTTCTTTGTTTAAAGGCAAGCCTTTCGACGCCCAACATGCAATACAGAATGCCGTTTCCAACATTATCTGTTCCATAGTGTTTGGGGATCGTTTCAACTATGATAACAAGCACTTTGCATACCTTCTGGAAATCCTGAAGGAGAACATCTTTCTGTCAGGGTCATTTGTTGGACAGGTATGGACAGTACTAAATATGTTTTTAGCTCATCACTGTTTTAGTAACCAGCTGCATGTTCGTTGTCTGCAGTCCTGTAGGTTGTCGACGAATTGCACTGTTACTCTTTTGCATAAAGTTAAACTTTACTAGACTTCACCAATAAAGCTGTAGGCAACTACTTGACCAGGGATGTCCAATGCTGCCCCTGGAGGCCCACCTTCCTGAAGAGTTTAACTCTAACTCTTCTTAAACTTACTTGACGTCTTCATGATTATTAGAATCTAGCAGATCTTTTGGAACAGGTTGGAACTAAACTGTGCAGGAAGGTGGTCCTCCAGGAGCAGGACTGGAGACTCCTGCAGTTGATGCAGTATAGTTATATGTAGCCTTTCTCTTTTCCAGGTGTTTAACTTGCTTCCCATCATCAAACATTTCCCAGGGCCACACCAGAAAATCTATCAGAACGCTGAAGAGTTGAAGGCTTTCATCAGGGCAGCAGTCAAAACGCACAGAGAAACTCTGGATCCAGACAGTCCACGGGACTTTATTGATGCCTACCTGCTAGAGATTGAGAAAGTAAGATCATCATGACCAAACACTTCAAACCCTGTGTAATCCACTCTTTGATGGTAGTTGGTGGTAACCCCAATCCCAGTTCTATCCTTGACTGGTTGATAGAATTTTTTTTTCAGGAACAACAGTATTTTACAAGGTGAAATTGCAGTGAGCTGCTAGGGAAATAGATATGCTTGGTTAAACTGAAATGCTATCTATTTTCCTTGGAGCAGCAGAAGTCCAACGAGGACTCCACATTTCATGAGGATAACATGGTAATGTCAGTAGCTGATTTGTTCCTGGCTGGAACCGACACCACAGCAACCACCATCAGTTGGGGCCTCATCTTCTTGACTCAAAACCCAGATGTACAAGGTACTTAAGCATGTCAGCATTCTGTAGCTCAAACAATATATCATGGTGTCAGCAATGCCAAGATGATGGGATCGATTCCTCAAGAATGCATGAACTGATAAACATGTCATGTTCTGCAAGTTGCTTTGGATAGAAACTTCTGCTAAGTGTGTAAATGTAGGTATGAAATGTTCTGTCCTTTTACAAACAATTTGTCTAACTTGCTGCAACATGTCTTGAATATGCACAAATGTGTATATTAAGAGTTGCCAGTTCATGCCTCTCTTGTTGGTCTGTTGTTGCTTTGAAGAGTTCTGTACTATAATATTCTCTTTTCATTCCCACAACTTCTGTTGCAAAGTTGTAGCATGCATGTGGAATTTTGTGGAATTACTGAGTTGGAATAAATAGCAAAATCTGTAAATGCAACTAAATGGATACAGATTATACCAAACAGGGAGTGCAGTCCCAAACGCACCACTGATTGAGCTAAAAGAACAAGGTTTTGAAAGCACCACGTTGTCAACTTACTTGTACTAGCATGTTAACATTGAAAAATGTACTCGTACGTTTTCGTTTCATTACAGAGCGATGTCATGAGGAGATTGTTCAGGTTCTGGGTTACGACCGCTTACCCAGCATGATTGACCGAGACAAACTACCATACACATACGCCACTGTTCACGAGATTCAGCGCTCTGCCAACATTGTACCCTTTGGTGTGATTCATGAAACAACTCAGCCTACAAAACTACGAGGATACGACATTCCCAAGGTAATGAACGAAGCATGGCTGTGTTGTGTTTCTTGATTGTTCCACTAACAAACATTGTCTTTTTAGGGCACCGAGATATTAACTAACTTAACAGCAATTTTAACTGATAAGGAGCACTGGAAGTACCCAGACACTTTTAACCCAGAGAATTTCTTAGATGACAATGGACATTTCTTCAAACCAGAGTCTTTCCTCCCTTTCTCCTTGGGTGAGTCACCTGTGACTATGACTTCAGTAGACCAAGAGCGAACACAACTAGGTTGATGCCGATTGTGTTTTATCTCCATTTATCAGGTCCGAGGGTCTGTCTCGGTGAGATCCTTGCTAAGACGGAGCTCTTCCTCTTCATCACTTCTCTCTTACAGCGGAGTCGTTTCTCCTGGCCACCTGGTGTGAAGTGGCCAGACATGAATGGGATTGTCGGTATAGTCCGCTCTCCTGAGCCATTTGACATCATCTGCCACAGCAGAGGATCCAAAGAGTGACCATCAGTACACTCTCCAAGTCTCCATAGCTGTTCTAACAGAACTCAATATTAATAGTTTTAGCTCTGAAGAAATTATACTCTAGTTTAAAAGTTATGGTTTTGAAAAAGTGACACACATGCTGTAATCATTGTAAAATATTGCATCTGATTTCACAATAAATTACTTCAGTGCTGTAAAACTAATGTAACACTGATTTATTTTCACTTTTTTGTGATGTCATCTCTCATTTGATAGCTGGTATTATTACAGACAGGCCTGTACAGGTCTAACCTAGATGTATTTCTTGCCGGTATGGTTCATATTATACGTGGAGCCGCAACACACCCTGTTTGTGTGTATATTTGAACTTGTAGAACTGGCTGATTAATGGATCATGTACATCATTGTATGCACTTTGTATATGCCAACAACAATCTGTTCATTTGAGTGGACAAAACACTTTGGACAAAAATTATTTGGGAGGATATGTTATTTAAAAGGACAGTAGTTTTAAAAAGTCTTATTACAAATTTAAAGGTTACAAGTTCTTGTGAACACTTCTTCTAAAACCTTTTAATTAGAGTGTAGTTCAAATATGCCAGTGCTATTATACCAAGTTATAATCATGTATATATCATACTCTAAAAAAATCCTGAGTTGCCTAATCACAGTTGATACAACTTCCTCAATTTTACCATTATTTCTTGATTTGTGCGTGACCACATATAAGAATTAAGTGCTTTTGTGGTCTTCAAAGATGTAAACACAATAAACGTTTCTATCGTGTATTTTAAGAATATACTCATTTTAACTGCCGTCTTTTCTTGATTGAAATCTGGTCACATTGAAAAATGCTGTGGCATAAAAAATCCTGGTTATTCTAGTTAATGCTATTGTCTGTGGTCACAGTTTTGAGGAGAACAATGTTTATATTTGTAGTAACTGCTGTGGTCATGTAGTCAAGTGTCCTGTTTTTTTTTTGACGGCAAAGCATTGTGGGATAACAAAACTGTAAACAATGGCTATCCTCCAGACTTAGTAGCAGCGGGGAGAAGGAATGTCTGGACACCGAGTCCCTTTAGTGTCACCACATCAGGCATGGATGCCAAGAGCTGGCGGACAGAAGCGTAGCCATCCAGCACCTCGGAGTCGAGGAGGAGCGGGCAGGACCTCCGTGCTTTGCTCAAAGTGACACCTTTAGGGTACTGGACCATCAGATCCCAAAGTGCTTTCTTCAGCTTCATCAGGTTGGTGCTTGGTTCTGAGAATGGATGGATGAATGGACAGATAAATATAACATGACAATATCTGGTCACTACAAATGTAGCATAAAATGCAGGACTGATGTACAGTAAGCAATAACACTGGCAATTCTCATATAATCTATTCCACCGGATCTAGTCTATTAGCTTCAAGATTACGTAAAAATACTGCGGTGATACCATATTTTGGTAGATACTATGGTACTGCGTTATTACCATCAGTGTTGGGCTCGTTACTCCAAAAATTAAATGTATTACTCGTTACTAGTTACTCCTTCCAAAAGTAATATTATTACATTCTGGCAACAGTAATTAGTTACACTACTTTTACTTCATGCCCCACAGAAGTTGTAATTGTGTATCTTCCCCATAAAATACTTCTAATATGTTACTAACTATATATTTCTGCCTAATCATTTGACCAAAGTCCACATTGGCTCACAGTCAGTTTTACAAACACTCAATGGTGACTGATTGTGACTTTTAAGTAAAAGTGTTGTATTAATTGTCATGAAGCTTGACTCTTAAAAATAAAGGTGCTTCACGATGCCATAGAAGAACCTTTTTGTCTAAATGGTTCCATAAAGAACCTTTAACACCTGAAGATCCAAAGGTTCTTTGTGGCGAAAGAAGGTTCTTCAGATTATAAAAAGGTAAGAAAGAGATGGTTCTTTAAAGAACCTTTGCCTGAATGGTTCTTTGTGGAACCAAAAATGGTTCTTCTATGGCATCGCTTGAAGAACCTTTTGAAGCACCTTTATTTTTAAGAGTGTAATTGTAGCTATACTTGATCTGTTACCCATATAAGATTATTTTTCATTTAGTATTTTATCAAAAGAACTCACGTAAGTTTATAATATTTTTAATTCATATAATTTATATCGGGATCAGAGGGATGTTGGTGGGCAAGCTGTGTAATGCCAGAGTAAAGTAATGCCACAACTTACACATCTGTGTTTCTCCAGACAAAATCAGTGCAATGGCAATATTTCCATCCCCTGAATGTAAGCTTTTCCATATTCCAAGCTTCCCTGATGCACTGGTGACTTCATGCGAGTCGTGATAATTATGAAAATAAATCTCGGAATAATTGAATTGTTGGATTTCACATCAGTAGGGGTCGAGGCATCAAAAGTAACTTAAGTAACGAGCTGTTTTATGCATGGTAGCTGTAATATTACTGAAATCTTAATAGTAATTAGTTACACTACTAGTTACTAGTATTATTACTGGACCTAGTTATTGCCCAACACCGATTACCATGATATTTACTAAAATTACTAACAAGCTGGTTGGCTAGTCATAGCTGATTTAATCTGGATGTAGGCTAGCTTGTTTAAACTGCTCAAGCTGATGTTTTAGTTGTTTGGTCAGCTGCTGTCCCAGTAGTCCAAGTAGTCGAAACCCCTCTAAAACCAGCTTGGGCCAGGCTGGAAAACCAGCCAACCAGCTTAAGCTGTGCTCCATAGAATTTAAAATAATACCATGTGTACATGTTAAAATATATGGAATTATATACCATGGTCCGAACAAGCATGGTAGTACAGTATTTTGTTACCGTATCACTGATAGTTTTAGTCATAGAGAATTACAGTGCAGTTCACTCGACAGTTTACAAAGCAGTAATATAAGTCTAACATTTCCTCACGTGTATCGGATGATGGAGGTGCTCCCTTTGCGACCACTGCGCTGTACAGCGTCGCTGGTCCTCCGGTACCCTTCTGTGTCATCTTTCACGAGACGATAAGTGGCCAATCTTCTTAATTATTACAGCGAATTTTGTTAATGTAAAGTAATAAAATCATCCGTTCGGTAACGCATCTGAAGTGAACAAATCTATAAAATATAAACCAAATCTATTAGTCTACTTCAAACGAAGTTATACATCGCTTCTGGCATTTAAACGCTATCGAAACTAACACGCACACGATTCATTTGTGTCCGAATCATTTTATTGAAGCGATTCATTCGAACTCTAGAGAATCGTTTACAACTGATTCAGCTGTTCGTTACTTAAAACAACTTTTAACAGTGTAGCAATTAATTTTTTTTTAAATAAAATGTATTAGTGGATTAAGTTACACTTACAAAAAGCACGATATACAGCATTTTTATTAGAGATATCCTACGATAAAAAATTTTTTTTAGAAGTACCTGCATAGAATATTAGCCTACAGTACTACTCATTGTACACCAGTTGTAAAAGTGTATATATTAGTCAATTGTTTAAAAAAAATGCACTTGTAAGGTGTTTCACCTGTACGATTCAGTCTGATTTGCGGATCGATCGAATCATTAAATAGAACCGATTCCAAAAGTGATTCGCGAGCCCAACCTTACGCTTTCGTTTTTGCCTTCCATTTCAAGGAAGGACTCAGTATTATATGTGCTTCTTCACTTTCAGGAAGCGCCCATAGTTTCACGACACGGAACGTCACACAAGTCGTTCAAATGAATGTAAACCTGCTGTTCTCCTGCGTTCTTTGATCTGATGTAAGACAGAAGCAGTTAACGCCAGCAGTTCTCTCACGAGACTATGCATGATCTAAAACAAGCTAGGGATGGGCGGATCGATCCTTAAGTATCGATATGTTGTATCGAAAGGATCGATCCTCACATAAAAATATCGATTCTAAAGTGCATTTTTTAAACCATTAATTGTATTTACTTATGAAGAAATTCGGTGCATAAAAAAAGCTTCTAAATGGAAAAATAGACTATATTAGCGAATAATTGTGTTGGATAGAACCATTACTCCTGCTCATCGGAAAAGACAGAACCAGCCAATCACAGACAGCGTTCGCTGCTGACGCATGGCTCACAGTGCTTGTTCAAATAGGGCTGCGTTTCCCAAAAGCATCAGAAGCATAAGTAGATCTTAAAGGGGTCATATGATGCGATTTCAAAATAATGTGTTTTTTTAACCTTAAACCGCATAAACACATTTCATTACACCAAATACACAAAATAATGTTCTTTTTAGCAGCATCATATGACCCCTTTAAGTAACCATTGCCACATTATTACATTACATTACATAACATTGTTACTATATATAAAATTAATTCTGAAAAATGCATCACGGTTTCCACACAAATATGAAGCAGTAATAATAATAAATGTTTCTTGAGCAGCAAATGCTATTAGAATGATTTCTGAAGATCATGTGACACTGAAGACTGGAGTAATGATGCAGAAAATTCAGCTTTGATCACAGATACATTTTAAAATATATTAAAATAGAAAGTAGTTATTTTTAATTGTTATATTTCTCAATATTGCTGCTTTTGCTGTTTTTTGGTTGTTGTTTTTTTCAAATAAGTGCAGCCTTGGTGAGCATGAGACTTAAAAAAAAATATTACAAAATCTTACTGACCCCAAACTTTTGTGTACATGTAATATTTATTTTTAAATTGGCTAGTTTGTGCAAGTAAATTTATTTAAACTGGTTGTTAAAAGTTTGTGTTATGTTCTGTAATTGCTGTTAATAAATCTTTCAGAAAAAATATGCTAAAGTTTCACCTTTAGGTACAACAGCCTGGCAGTCTTTTACAAAAATTAACCATGGTTTTATTACAGTAACCACAGTATTTGTAGTACAACTGCAGTAACCACAAATTTACCATGGTAATAATAATAATACATTTTAGTACTTATGTAACACTATGCTTATTTTTTATGAGGTACCCTCAGAGGTGCACCTTTTAAACTTATCTACCCTTAAAGCATGCATTACTTTTTAAGCATTTAGGGGTATAGTTGCACCTTTGAGGTTACTGCCCCATTAAAGGGCTAAAATACAATTATAGTATTATAATAATTGTAATTGATTGTAATAATTTAATTTCTGACAGTGTAAACAAAAAAGGCCTATGAAATGTTAAAAAGCACGGCTTTAAAATCTAATATTAAGTGAGTATAAT